AAAAATTTCTTCATAAACACACAATGATCAGATGTAGTTCTATCATTCCCTTGGCTCATCATAAAGGAATCAAACTTCTTGTATTATTGTCTAGGTGCCCGTTTAAGTCCATATAAGTTTTTCCTAAGTTTACATACTAGATTTTCTTTTCCCTTAACTTTGAAACCTTCAGGTTGCTTTATGTAAATTTCTTCTTCTAAATCACCATGAAGAAATGCTGTTTTCACATCAAGTTGCTCAACTTCTAAATTCAAGCGGGCAGCCAAACCAAGAACAACTCAGATAGAGGACATTTTCACCATAGGAGAAAATATTTCTTCAAAGTCAATACATTTCTTCTGACTGAATCCTTTCACAACTAGTTGTGCCTTGTATCTTTGTTGTGAGCTATTATTTTTAGTCTTCAATTTGTAAACCCACTTATTCTTGAGAGCTTTTTTCTTTTTAAGCAACTTTACCAAGTCATAGGTGTGGTTCTCAAGCAAAGATCTCATTTCTTCTTGCATGACTTTAACCCACTCATTCTTATGCTTATGTAGAATAGCTTCTTGCTAAGTTTCTAACTCTCTCCCGTCAGTAAGCATAACATACTCATGTGGAGGATATCTAGTAGATGGTTGTTGCTCTCTAGTGGATCTTCTCAATGAAATCTCAACTGGTGGTAGAGGTGCTTGTTCAGTTGGTTCAACATCATCAACTGTAGGAGTATCATCACTTACATTCTCACCACAATCTTCTTGGTTATCTCCCCCATGATCATCATGAACTATAGGTGAAGGAACTAGACCCAAACTCCAAGGAATATAAACAGAGGTTTTTGGCTTCTCAATATTATCATCATCATCAAACAATTGGTCTTCAAGAAATACAACATCTCTGCTTCTAATAATCTTCTTGTTCACTAGATCTCATAATCTGTACCCAAACTCTTCATGACTATATCCCAAGAAGATATATGCTTCTGTCTTATTATCAAGCTTCGACCTCTCATCTTTGGAAATATGAATAAATGCTTTACACCTAAAGACTCTCAAATGATTATAATATATATCTTTTCCTCTCCATACTTTCTCTGGAACATCACCTTTCAGAGGAACTATTGGAAAAAGATTTATAAGGTCAACTGTAGTTCTCATATCCTCCCCCCAAAATGACTTAGGTAACTTGGCATGGGAAAGCACCTAATCCTTTCTTCAATTATTTTGTTCATCCTTTCTGCCACACCGTTTTGCTGAGGAGTTTTAGGAACTATTTTCTCAAGCTTGATACCATGGAACCTACAATAATTCGCAAAAGGACCCTTGTACTCGTTACCATTATCTGATCAAACACACTTTAGCTTTCTGTCAGTTTCTCTTTCAACACTGACATGAAACTCTTTGAAAATATCGAGTACCTAGTCTTTAGATTTCAAAGTAAAAGCTCACACTTTTCTAGAATGGTCATTAATAAAAGTATCAAATAAAGAGTACATCCAAGAGTTCTAGTTTGCATAGTACAAACATCAGTATGAACTAAATCAATAACATTTAATCTTCTAGATGATAGATATGTATAAAATGCAACTCTATGTGTTTTTCCAACTAAGCAATGATCACAAGATTTAAGAGATGTACCTTGCAACTCTAGTAAGAACTGCTTTATAGCAAGAGTTTGAAGTCCCTTCCAGCTGATATGACTAAGCCTCTTATGTCAAAGATCTATACTTTCATCTTTTTGAATTGCATTAATATCTCCTTTGTGTAGCTTAGCTTCCATGACATAAAAAGAGTTAAGCTTCTTTCCTCTTGCCACAATTAGAGAACCTTTAGTGAGTTTCTATTTGCTTTTACCAAAATAATGTGCAAAGCCCTCATCATCAAGTTTGCCTGTAGATATCAAGTTAAGACAAATATCTGAAATATGCCTTACATCTTTGAGTATCAATTTGCTCCCAATACCGGTCTCCAAGCAAATATCTCTAATACCTATAATCTTAGATGTACCATTATTTCCCATTCTAACATTACCAACATCACCAACAGTGTAAGATCTAAAGAAATCAATATGAGAAGTGACATGAAATGAAGCACCAAAGTCAATTACCTAGTTACTATCCTGAGTTGCAAGACTGACACAACCGTCATCACAAACAATAATGATATTACCTTCAGCAACAACTTTATTGGTCTTTTTCTTTATTTTTCTTAATTTCATTCTGTTATCGCTTCCAAAACCTATACTCTTTCTTCATGTGACCTGGCCTATTACATTGGAAACATTTGATATCTTTTCTAGACTTAGATCTTTCTCTATAACCATATGGATTTCTGCTATGACTTCTTCCACGTTTTTCTTATTTTTCAGTAACAAATGCACCAGAAGAAGATTCATCCCGTTCTTTCTTTCTAGCATCTTCATTTAGCAAACTATCTTTAACCATATCTATATTTAGAGTCCCCTTTGGCGTAGAGTTACAAATTATCACCACAAACGTTTCTCAACTTTCTAGTAAAGAGTTGAGAAGTAATAATCCTTGCATCTCATCATTTATATTCATTTTCATAGCAACCAACTTGTTTGCAAGACTATGAAATAGGCTTATATGCTCAACAATATTACCACCATCTTTATACTTTAAATTTACAAGCCTTCTGAGGAAAGAAATTCTATTTCCCATTGTCTTTTTCGCAAAGAGATTTTCTAACTTTTGCCAAACAACATCAGCTCAGGTTTCATCTGAAATATGCTCATGCAAGTTTATATCCATCCATCTTCGAATATAGGCAATAAATTTTCTATGTTGAACTTCCCATTATTCATCGTTTATAGTAGAAGGTTTATCTTTAACCTTGATGGACTTATATAAATTTTACAATAAAGTATATCTTCCATCATACGCTTCCAAGTGGAATAATTTGATGAGTTCAATTTAATCATATCATCTGACTGCTCCATTTCAATCACACAAGAAAAACTAGCACCAAATAACCTGTTGCTCTGATACCACTTGTTGGAAAAAAACATGTTAAAACGGAATAATTATTTTCCCTCTTTGTGTATCAAAATGAGTTCCTCATCAAAATACCAACTTGATATCAAAATACAAATATCAACCAGCACAGCATAAACAATAGAGCAATAAATCAATCACATAGTGAGACCAAATCTTTTAACGTAGAAAACTCAATGTGAGAAAAACCACGGGACCATTGTCCACCTCAAATTTTCACTATCAATAGTAATGATAATAGGTTTACAGTAAATCTTCTCTAGAATAACCAGATGATCATAATAACATCAAGAACATAAATCTTGGCTAAGAATAGTATATCTCATCAAAAGAGAATTCTAGGTCTCACAAAATGGGTATAGCAAAAAAATACCTTGAAGAGGGTAAACTACAGATCAACACCATTAAGATTGTAGAGCTTGCTCCAAGGATTCTCGGCATAAAATTTAGGTCAAAACTGATAACGTTTGACCATTAATCGTCAAGAAAACTCAATATCCTAATTTTTCTTTCTTTTTTTTTCTTTTTCTCTTTCTCCTTTCTCTCTCTATCTCCGTGTTTACTGCTCTCTAAGTCGCTGCCCTCAATTTTACTGCTTTTGTTGTTGCCTTGCCCCACTAAAAGCCTGTGGCTTTGATATATGCACAGCAATAGAGGGATGAAATTTTGTCTTGTAGACGTTGGTGCCACTTTATGTGCATGAGGGAACAGCTCAGGTGATGTAAACTAAAGAAGCGGGGCGGAAGAGCATATTGGCAATTGCTTGCTACCACAGTATGCTTCATTCTTAAAGGAACACCGGACAGTGAAGCTCCGATTACCCATCACGTCTTCTTTCCTTTTTGTTCTCTCCCGATTAATCAAGATGTGCACATCCTTCATCCACGGAAAAGTAATCGTAACTGAGAAGTAGAGAGGAGAGAAGAGCTTAAAGCATCCTGAGACCTGTGAACTGCATGCTCCACTTCTCATTCTTGTATTCCATGGCACGGGTGATGGAGATTGACGATGGGACCGTGGGAGAGAAAAGCTGGGTGGTGGAGATCGATGGCCAGTCCAAGAAAATCGATCCACTAATCGAGAACAAACAATGGTCGAAGCAGTCCATATACAGGGTTCCTGCTTGCATAAAAAAATTGAACAGAGAGGTCTACACGCCCCAGATCGTCTCCTTCGGCCCGTACCACCATGGCGAGAATGACCTCATGCCGATGGAGGAGCACAAGCACAGAGCACTGCTCCACTTCCTCAAGAAAGCAAAGAAGCCTTTCCACGAGTTCATGACCGCCATGGAGGGTGAGTTTGAGCGACTGCAAGAGGCTTATCAGAGCCTCGACGAGCGATGGAAGGATAAGGAATCGTTCCTGCGGCTGATGATCCTCGATGGCTGCTTCATGCTCGAGATAATGCGCGTCAAGACGAAGAAGTCCTCCGACCATGGCTACGCGTACGATGATCCCGTCTTTAGCGAAAGTGGCATTCACCACAACGTGCCCTACATAAAGCGAGATATGATGATGATCGAGAATCAACTGCCTCTGCTGGTTTTGGACCAACTGGTTCTCGTTGAGGGTCTTCATCGCACGGTAAGTGCAGCTTTACGCTTTCTTCTTTCGTTTTACCTGAATTATTACCTCGTCTTTCGACGTTGAACTATGCCACAGGCGGAGAAGTACGTAGACGAGCTGATGCAAAGATTCTGGGAGTGGAATTCCACGGCGAGCCTGGGGCAGCGCCTCCACCCCCTTGGCGTGCTCCACAGCGTCCTGCTGAAACCCTGCGGGCAGAAGAACAGGGATCCCAAGACGCCGAAGATGGACACGATCATCCGGTCGGCGGTTGAGCTGCACGAGGCCGGCATCCGCTTCAAGACGAGCGAGTCCGACAGCCTCCTTGACATCTGGTTCGATAACGGTGTCCTCAGCCTGCCGAAACTTACAGTCGACGACAACACCAAGTACATGTTCCTCAACCTCATGGCGTTCGAGCGCCTCCACGTCCGCGCCGGCAACGACGTCACCTCCTTCGTCTGCTTCATGGACCACATCATCGACTCCGCCAAGGACATCAACCTGCTGCACTACAAGGGGATCATCCTGAACGCGGTGGGAAGCGACGAGGCCGCCGCCGAGCTGTTCAACCGCCTGACCAAG